CGACTAAGGCCGTGGTGTAGGGGTGTCATATTGGAATGAAATTTGCATACTTGCTCAAGAGATTCACTACCACCATGATCACCATAAACCCTTTTGATCGTGGCAATCCTTCCATGAAATTCATCATTACTTCTTCCTAAATCTTCTTCAGTAATGCCAAGGGCTGTAACAACCCTCCCGACATCATGGTTAAGTATTTGTGTTGCTAGCACACATCACACCGCGCCAATCTGTTTTCTACATCTTTGAGCATCACCACCCAGTATAGCTATGTCGATAAACACTATGTCTTTTGCACTCTAAAATGCCCCTTGATTGCACTGTCGTGAAACTCCTGCAGCAGCCTGGGAATGTGCTTCGATGCCTTCGCAACACGAACCGCTCCTGGTAGAGTAATTGTTGTCCCCTCAACGCATATCCTAGATGACTATTCAGATCCGTAGTAATTATACTTCTATTTTCCCCAGTCGTTCATCTTGCTCGCTCTCCTGCCTCATGACTTCTGAATCTAGGACCAGAAGTACCAATAAGGCTACAAGCTGTGGTTCCTCAACCTTTCTGGACAATGCATCTGCTGCTTTATTCTCCAATCCTGACCTACACTGAATCTCGAAATCATATCCCAATAACTTGGATAGTCATCTTTGGTGCTCCTCAGTCACCATCCTCTGTTCTAACAGATATTTCAAGCTCCTTTAACCTGTTCTAACAAGAAAATATTGCACCAATAAGTAGGGTCGCCACTTCTGAATGAAAAAGACAATAGTCTTCAATTGTCGCACATACACTGACTTGAGTCTCCTCCTAGCGGTGAGTATTTGGCTGAAGTAAGAAATCAGTTTATAGTCCTGCATGAGTATTGCACCCAACCAGTATCCTGACGCATCTGTCTCAACCACAAATGGTCCACTGAAATCCTACAGTGCTATTACCAGTACACTGCTCATGGCTTTCTTTAGATGTTCAAAGGCATGTGTTGTGGCTTCCCCCACTTGAAATTGTCTTTCTTCAGCTGCTCTTTCAGTTGTCATGGTATCGTGTAGTACCCCTTCACAAATTTTCTATAGTATCCGGTGAGGCCTAGGAATCCCCTCAACACCTTCAAGCTACTGGGTAAAGGCCAGTCCATCATAGCCTCGATCTTAGAAGGGTATGTTGCCACTCCCACCCTGGTCACCACATGCCCTAAATACTCTACATGTAGTTGTGCAAAGAAACATTTATTCAGATTAACGTACAACCGGTTCTCTCTAAACTTCTCAAGAACCGTTCTCAAAAGCTTCACATGTTTCATCTCAGTACGACTGTAGATCAAAATGTCATAAAAAAGGACCAGGACAAAATTTTTGTTGTAAGGCTAAAAAATCCTATTCATAAGGGACTGAAATGTGGTCGAGGCATTGGTGAGGCCAAATGACATCACCAAGAACTCGAAATGTACTTCATGTGTCCCTTAAGATCTATTTTCGAGAAGATGGCTGTCCCATAAAGCTCATCTAACAACTCATCAATCACAAGAATAGGAAACTTATCCAACACTGTCCCCTTGTTTAAAGCCGAGTAGTCCACGCAGAACCTTCGACAACCATTTTTTTCTCACCAAAATGACTGGACTGGAGAACGGACTAACACTAGGTCTAATAATCCCCATCTCGAGCATCTCATGATCAACTTTTCTATCTCATCCTTCAGAATTTGAGGATGTCCAAATGGCCTGGCACTGATAGTAGGGACCCCCTCCTTTCCCCATCTCGAGCATCTCTCAATCAACTTTTCTATCTCATCCTTCAGAATCTGAGGATGTCGAAATGACTTGACATTGATAGCAGGGACCCCCTCCTTTAATGTAATAGCATTCTCGTGCTCCCTCGGAGGCGGTAACCTGTTTGACTACTGAAAGATGTTTGTAAACTGTTGTAAGAGCTGTCAAACCCCTTTGGGATACTCTGTCAACTCGGGATCTCAGACCTCCTCAACGCTCTGTAATTCCACCAAATAACCTATCATTGATCCCCATATCGACTTGACCATGGTTTTTAGCGAGACCATAGTTTTGCACAAGCTAGTATCTCCTCTCAGCATCACTTTCCTACCCTCCACCTAAAACTTCAACGTAAGGGATTTCCAGTCTACCTTCATCTCTCCAAAAGTCTGCAGTCACTTTGTCCCCAAAGTCATATATGTGGTGCCCAAGTCCAAGGGAAAAAAGTCTTCAACACCTGTAAGCCATGTAGTGTTAAAATCAACCATTTGCAGATTCCTCAACTTTTCACCACCTTCTTTGTCCCCATCATGACACTAAAACTCCCTGTAGCTGCCAGTTCCAACCCTAACTGCTCTGATTTAAGATAAAGTTATGTGTGGCCCCACTATCCACCAGCACCACAATCAATTGTCTCATGGTCTGTCTCCTCACTATCATAGTGTGATTCAAAGTAAATCCCACCATTGAATTGAGACACCTCTGCTACATCTAAGTGCAGATGCTCTTCTTCCTCCACTACATATTCCTTTGATTCCACCCCATCGCCTCCTCTTGAACTAACAAAATTTGAAGAGCGTGCTCCTTGAAACGGTGGCCTGCAGCATACTCGACACATCGATAACCTAATCACTTTGCTCTATTATCTTGTACTTCTGCGTCAATGAGACACTTGAAATTACCCCTAGGGAGAGTCCTAGTGTTCTTCTCCTTTAGCATCTCTTTCTGAAATGATATCGTTTGGGTCCTCGGTGTCATGGTCGTTGAAACACTCTTATAAAATCCTTATGCGTTGCCCCCTTACTGGTCTTCTTAACTTGTTTATTGTCTTCCACATCTCCCTCAATCCACACGGTCTCAATGGTCGGATATCAAGCTTCAAGCCCTTCAAGAAGTTCCTCTTATCATAAATTCCCCTTATTCGCCCTGACAAGAGCTCGAACCTTCCCTATACTAAGTGATTGTCCCCTCCTAAGTCAAAGCATAGAATTGCTCGTGCAGGTCTCCTTCCAAAATGACTCGGAAAAGCTCTAGCAAGCAATCATTAGACTCCTCCACGAATGCATTGAATTCCTCCCCTCCAAGCATAATCTCGCCGCATGAGTTTCTCTTCCTCCGTTAACGCATTGACTGCAAAGTAGCGCTCCACACGATACAACCACCCATGTGCATCTTGTCCTTCAAAGATCGGCATCTTTAGTTTTCTGACCCTTGAATCTCCACCCCCAACTTCCTCTTCCTCTGATATTATTGCCCATGTGTCTCGGGTGAAACTTCTTACTTCAATCATAGTCATATCCTGCTCTGAATTCTCTCCTTTCTCCTTCATGCTCTTTCGTGCCCCTTGCACCATCCCTCCAATTTTCGGCGCAATCCCTTCTATTTAAATTCTTCATTTCCCCTCCTCTTGGAGTTATAGGGGGATGTTCTGATGTTAGTGATGTCCTCATCCTGTCATTCGATCTCCTTCCCTTTTGATATGACCAAGGATTCCCTGATCAACCCTTGATTAGGATTTGCAGCTTGAGCAGTCAGCATGACCTTGGACTGCATCTCCATAGCTTCTTCATCATCTCTCGGATTTCTCATATTCTCTCAAATTCGTCCTCCATTCGGCTCTTTATTGAAAAAAAAACTGTCATCAGAAACGGCAAACCTTTCATCCATTCCCAATATGATTTGCCCGACTTCTCCTTCCAACTCATCTGCTTTCTTTACTGTCATCCCTCCAAGATCTTGCTCTGATACCAATTGGATACGATCCGAAACCAAAATCAGCGAACAAACAACGACAAAATTGCAATAGATTGGTGGAAAAACTCAAACAAGGGTTACTCTTGCGAAAATCAAAGGAAAATAAGTAAATACAATGATAATCAAATGTTCGAGAAATAAATCGTCTCTCCACAAAACCTAGACGATGCTAGGAACACACCAGAAGAAAAGAAAGATGTAACCAACCAAATATGCATGAAAAAAACAAAACCTAAGTTAACAACCTTAATATAACCATATCACAACATTTCGAACTTTCCCCCTCAAACTCCTCTAATTTCCTATCCTTCCATACGTGATAACGCCCTCGTGGACTTCGCTTGTTTGCTAGAATTCCCTGTCCCGCTCCCCGCCGAATCAAATCTCCTTGTCACGTTCATCCTGTCTTGCAACGTCGATGGCTCTTAGAGTTGTATGGGTCAGATGACCGATGCCTGACTGGCATAACATTCTACTACTTTAATTATTATTATATAATTTCTAATATGCTTATGAGTAAATAAAATTCAACATTAACCAAAAGTGCAAATTACAAAAAGTATTTCTTCCCTAATGATACCACATGACGAATAGTTATATTTTTACGTCCACATAATACAAGAAATCTGTTGTTTTGATCACAAGAAAAAAAAAACAAAATTAGAACTAAAAAAGAAAAAAAATAAATAGAAAAGTAAAAAAAAACTACAAAGAATTAACCTACTAAACTCACAATTTTACTTTCTCCCGTCAGGCTTGATTCATCCACCGCAAGGGAATGGCCGGAAATTAAAATTCCATCGGCAGGAACCTGGGAAGCAAATATCAAATACAGTTAACTGTCCCAAAATAATGCAAAAGTAGTACAACAAAAAACAGTAACTGCTTTTTCAGCAAACCCTACCTGATCGCCAATCTTGAGAGGAACTAAATCACCAACAACAATCTCAAATATTGAAATTTCAACCCTTCTACCACCTCTAATAACCTAAACAACAAGAAACAAATGCTATACCTCTAACGAATTTGCTTTAATAATCCTGGTAACAAATTTACATAAAAGCATTTTAAAATTCATAAATAGCAAACCTCCAAATGTATGTTCCGTTTTTCTTCATTGAGGTTTTGGAATTGAAGAGATTGCTTGTAATCACTGGTTGCTGAATGAAACAAATGAAAATTCATTAACCAATTAAAAGGTGGATTAGCTAAAATATCATTTACCAAAGCCAAAAAACTAAGGCTTGAAGGGGATATTCTAGTTAATTTCATTGACCCATTAAAATTGCAAGAGAAATAATTATAGCGTGCAAAATCCAGTACACTGAGCAATGATCTTCTAAGCATAGCAACGCGCAAGCAAAAAACATGAGTAATACACGAGGACAATCTATTCGCAAATTTAGAATTCGACAACAAATTATCAAACATAGCAAACGTAGAACACAATGTTCTCAAAATTTAATGAAAATCACTTCAGGTTTAAATCCAAATAGAAATTGAAAATTTCACAAAGAGAATAAAAACTTAAAATCATTCAAGCAAATTCACAACTCCACAACTAAAAGTAAAATCCATCAAAGAGAATATAAAAGTAAAAGCATTTTATAGACGATGTCAAATCTAAAATTAATTTAAGCTCATAAAGAGTCAATATCATATCACATGACCTAACAGTCACTTTTAAAAGATCTCATGCCGATAAGGGCATGGGCCGCGTCCATTATTTGTGCGATTTTGCCGCAAAATAGCCACATAAAAATAATGATTAAAATCAGTCATCCACCACCACCAGACGATTCACTGCAAAATGACAATATCAAGTTATGGTCATATATGTAGCTTGTATGATCATCAATGGATTCACCCCCTCAGTTGTGAATTGTAGGGTATACTTGATTAAACACAAAGTCATGCTGAAGTTAACCCAAAATACGATCGGATGGCGAAATATTTTATTGTTGAAATTCAACAAGTTAAAACAATGATTCTTAACATAAAATAATATCAACATGCAAGCTATCAACTAGAAAGGATGATATGTTCGCCATATATATAAGAAAAAAAAAAAGAAGAAAAATGCAAAAGGGGTAATAAATAAATAAATAATATAATTAATTAATTAATCACTTAATTAGATTAATGTGTTATTTGATTTTGATGATGGCTAATAGCAACTATTTTACTTACCATATGATCACTGACCTTTTGACCTTTGGTTTCATTGATCTTTGGATGTCTTTCAAATGTTCTCATTAGTCCTGATGCTTGTAGTAAGCTTGAGGCTAAGTCAAGAAAATGTTAATTCATTAGCTATGGAGACGAGACTTTTAGTTATCGTTTCTGATGATCAGGATCAGATGATCATAAGAAACATTAATGTGATTTTCAATGAGAAGATTATGTACAAGGACAAGACCAGTACAGTTTCTTAAACATCACATCAAGAATCTGAGTTGGTAAGTGACGAGGAGAGTGAGTCCGGATCACCAATTCTTATTATTCCGCAGTCAACTTCAGAGCAATCCACCCCTACAGCTGTAGTTCACGGTTCAGAAAGAACTAGACGCTCTCCACAGCGTTATTCTCCAACTTTAAACTACAACATGCTGACAGATGGTGAAGAACCCCAGAGTTATGAAGAAACCTTGTAAGATGAAAATTCAAACAAGTGAGAGCTAGTCATGAAGGAGGAGATAGATTCCCTGTTACAAAATCAGACATAGGAACTAACAGAACTTCCACCAGGAAAGAAAGCATTACACAACAAGTGGGTGTACCGAGTGAAAACTAAACATGATGGCAGTAAGAGGTACAAGACTAGACTTGTTGTAAAACTTTCAGCAGAAGTATGGTATTGATTATTCTAAAATTTTCTCCCCTGTGGTGAAACTTACAACCATCGAAATAGTACTGTCTATGATGGCTACTGAAGATCTCTTCCTTGAGCAGTTAGATGTGAAGACAATCTTTCTTCATGGAGACCTTAAAGAAGACAACTACGTGCACAAACCTTAGGGGTTTGTGGTAAAGGGAAAGGAAAATTCAGTTTGCAAACTGAAAAACTTTTATGGCCTGAAGCAACCTCTTAGACAGCGGTATAAGAAATTTAAAAATTTCATGCGCAGTGCAGGGTACAGCAGATGTCAGACAGATCATTGTTGTTATGTCAGACATTTTGACATAGCAGGACTTGCCGCCACATATTCCCCGTTCTTTTTCCTGTTTCACTCAAATTCAACTTCCTTTTCCATTACTCTCTAGTTCTTGCCTATTTTATGACTTCCTTTTCTAATCATTTTTATCTTGATTATTACCTATTTCAACTTGTCAATCTCTATTATATCTAGGTGATGTTTGCTTAGGTTAGAAGCTGCTGCTTTGTTTTCTGAATTCAGAGTTTGTTGTTGATGTTTTTCCCCTCCGAGGATTGTATCCTTCGACGAGGTGTTTCAGCTCTAACTCGTCCAAGGTGGTGATTATCTCCATCATTTCTCTGTTGTCTTGCGGCCACCGACTCCCTCTAACAACTCTAGCCCGCAGCAGTTCCCTTCTCACGACTCTAGGTTGTTGCGGCTCCCTATTTGCAACCCAAGAAGACCGCAATGCTACTCCAATTTGTTGCGGCACCCTATCTGGGATTCCAGAAGGCTGCAGATTCCCTTCCTGGGCCTCCAGCAGACTGCCTTCCTCCTCTAGACACCACACAGTAGGCAGCCGGCATCTTCTCGCATCCTAGCAAACCTATGCTCCCTTCCAACTGATCGCAACTCCCTCTGCTTACCCAACAATCAGTCGCCTCCCTCTCAGCTAGCCGTTAGCTCCCCCCTGCCTCCTCCTGCAGGCAGTCGACCCCCTTCCACGCATCTCCCTACAACCAATCGACTACTCCTCATCCTGTCTCGCGCCTGTTTTCACTGCCACCATAGCCCTCTAATGCTCCACCTTGAAGCAGCCACCTGCATCTACTCTGCTCCTCACCACCGACGTCAACGAATAACCTCCTCAAGCCGTGGTCGGATTGTATTAGTCTTGTCCTCATTGTCTTGTTTTCTTTATTGTTTGGAGTTTTGATTATATCCTTCATTATATGCTTAATACTAAAAGTCTTGAGTCGTCATGGGTTGAGTTAACTCCGGTATCAAAAAGTTTTCTGTTAACTAAGGTCGACTAAAAATTATCCCCTTAAGCACATCCACTCCAAAATCTACAAGTTTCTCTTTGATGAAACAACCTACACTATAGAAAATGATCCTTCGGTCGAGTTAGATCAATTAACTCCTTTGATTAAGTAAACCATGAACCATGATACCCAAAACAACAAAATCATGAGGTCATAATTGGATTTGTCATCCTTCTCCCACCATCCACTCAAAAGCTAACATTAATAAATTTATTTAATTTTACACAAACTCATGTTATTATGTGTTGAGCAATTAGACCTTTTAAAACTAACCTTAATCTAGAGTTCTTGCATTACCTGAAGTGGTTATTAAATATAAAAGTGTGGGCAGATGAGAAATCTCAAGTCGCGTCTTAAAATCCTAAAAATGACGATGAAATTTTTGAATAATGCATTTTCTCAAATCTAATGTCTTGAAAAATTTTAACTTGGAACAATTTTAAAACTTTCATGAGAGTCCAAAGAACAAATTTTCAAAATCCTCCTTCCTACTCATATAAGTGCATTCTTGATTAAAGAGAACTGATTGGCTCAATTTTAAGCCCAACTTGGACATTGTGAAATTAATTGATTGGAAAAGGGTTAGGAGGTTTCAAGTAGATCTAATCAAGGTTAGGTAATATCAACATCTCAAATATTCCTACGACACCCTATAGCTATAAGAGGCTTAAAATCATAACAGCCAAGAAATCCATCTAGCAGCAATCAAAGTTTTAAAAACAGGGCTAAATAGATCGATTCAACAATGAAACCGGATACAACTAATCCTGTTACCTTAAAAACTATTTCAGCATCAAACTGGCAAAAACTTATATGAATTGCAGGTTTGATCGACCCAAAAAACCAATCCCAAATATATAGAACCGTGTGAATTAAATAGAATATATTTAATTACCTATAATATACAATTCAATGATTTATTTTTTTTTCTTAAAAAAAATAAATATATAAATTATATTAATAAAATAATAATCATAGATTTAAAATTTTAAAATTTCATTGACATAAGCTTGGTTGAACTAAATCATAACTTCTACAACACTTCAACTTACTTGGTTTTCCTTACGAAAAAATATTAGTCCCCATGAAATTCTCTTTAGCAACTTGCAAATCCTCTCTATTTTTCCACTCATGCACCTTTTCAATAAGTCAAACTAATCTTATTATCAACCCACAAGCTTGAAATTGATGCATCCACTCATTATATTGTTTTTTTCATTCTAATTTATTTTCTTTTTTTTACTTCAGTATCTTAAAACCTATTTATTTTAAACATTTATTTGTGTTATTGCTAATGTGGGTGGAACCAAGCCAAGGAAATAATGTATTAGTCATGTTCATCCTCTTCAACCTTCCAATGGATCCGTTATGGTGTGGCCAATGATCGCATTCTTTCTAAACTGTGGACCGTCAATTAAAGCAACCACAAACAGCTAACGGTGTAAAGGAGAATAGCTGATGGTGTAAACGAGACAAGCTTGAGCAAGATCAATTATTATATGGCTTTTGTTAACTAAACAAGCTACTTATCAATCATGAACAAAGACATGTCCATGTTGGGCTTTTGTCAAGTAAACAGGTCTGTAAAAACCAATTTGAATTTGAGGTACTTATCAAGAATAAATGGATTATTCTTTTATCTTTTTTTTTTTTTTTTTTTTTTTTTTTTGGGTGAACTTAAAGAATCTCCTGCTATATAAATATTTTGGATGTGATTGCAACATCAAAAAACTTCAATGTTTGTTTTGTTAAGTAAACAAGCTTGTAAAACCCCGAGCTGAATTTGAACTACTTATCAAGAGTAAAAGGATTATTGTTTTATTTTATTTTATTTTATTTTTTTTGACAAAATAAAGAATCCCCTAGTCCAAATATTTTGGGTGCGATCGCAATACCAAAAGGCTTCAATGATAGCTTTGGCATCCTCTATAACAGTAAATTAAGAGCAACTTACAGAGTTTTGGCCTCACATCATCACCAAACAAGTAAAAACTATCCAAAGAACCTGATGAAAGATTAATTGAGGGGGTAACACTAGCATGATAAAAAATCAATAATAGAATGGGTGTAGTCTTCAGTTATGTTTGGATTAAAGGCAATGATTGTGGGTCTTTGCACTAACCGAATCAAAGAACAACAGTCCTTTGACGGTTTAACCAGAAGAGCGAAGCTTCGGTTTCTTCTTCAACAGTTTGATTTTTTTCTTCGATGACGTCATGTCAATTTTTCTCATTATCTGTCAACAAGTTATATAGATAGTGAGGAAAATGGTTGAACTTGTGGCCATGAACATAAAATGAGGTTGTGGTCAATCTAGAGATGGAGACAACAAAAACGAACAAAGAGGAATCCTCATCAGAATTGTAGGGGGATGCATATGGATCATGACGGGCTGGAAGAAAAAAGTATCATCCTTTATATAATACATCTCATACTTGTTTATTAGTAGGATTCATGTATTGAAGTTCCTGCTTATGTGGGTTAAATATGTAGCTTGAAGCCTTAAGAAAAACACAAATGTATCATGAAAGAAAATAAGTAGTTAGTTCTAAAAATAATTCATTTCATAGCATCATCACTTTTTTATTTTTATTTCGTGATAAAATTATTTAGGAACGAAACATTCTTTGGATGCATTCCTTTGAACATATATAGGCTTCAAAACAACAACTAATATATGTTTATTCTTCCTTTTTTTTTATATGAAACACAAACATGCAGATATCAGCTTTGATCAAAATGGCATACCAGTAACCACGATAACAAGGATAACAGCAAAGGCAATGCTTCCACCATCGTACCATCCTTCTTTGATACCCTAATCAAACAAAATACATGATGCAGAAAAATAAGTAAACACGAATAATTATAAAAGCCAGCATGTACACAAATCTCTTTCGTTTTCTAAGATACATTTAACAAACAGATCATGATTTTACTGCACAGCAATTTTTAAGTAAAGGAAAAGCTAATGCAAGGAAATGCCATCAACTATTCTGCCTTCAACCATGCCAATTTTGCACCTTCCAAAGTCTTCAATAAAAAAATTATAATCATACACTTCAATTTTGTTAAATCATACATAAAACCGACAACATATGTAGCGGGTATTTATCCTATGATAACTATTTAACAAGTAAAAACTAATTCCAGTCATACTGTCACATTTTTGCTACAGGTCATATTAATAGGTTTATAACGCTAGCCAAGGGCATTTCAAATCTGCATTCTTTGGCTATCCTGATTTAGCTCAACTCTATGCCTCAGTAGTAATTTATTTTTAGCAGTTCTACTTATGAAAAATCAGACATCACAAATTGATTTGTGTGAGAAATGTGCAAAGAAAAATACTGCACCCCATGGCTTTGCATGAGGCAAAACATTTGCAGAATAGCTTTTCCAGCTTTATTTCTCTCTAAATAACACAACAAAACATAGCCAAACGAGACTTAATTTAAATAATCAAGTTGTTCTAACATGCAACCGCATTGAAACAAGCACTTTACTGGCCTTATGGATACCTTCCAACTTCCTAGTAGTAATCTGAACCACTTCGGTAATAAAACTCCATTTAAGGCTTTCTTTTAAAAAACTCTTGTAATAACATTTTAAAAAGTGTGATCAAATTGCCTGTTATGATTGGCAGCCAAAACAATTAATGGGACTTGTTTCAAATGTACCTTCTGTATTGAAGAAGCTATCCGTAAGGGAAGTATTAAGGCTAAATTGATGAAAATTTCTAATTAACAAGGCTGACAGCATTGATAAGAACAACAACAAAATATTATGTACCTCTGTTTTTATGCCCAAAACCAAGGATATAACCGCAGCTATTATAAGGATTACAAGAGTTAAATCTTGACAAGCTTCCCAAAGAAAAACCTGTACATGAGAATTTTTTAAAATAAAATGTCGAATAAACCATGAAGGCGAATCAATGGAAGCTGTAAAGGGTTCACATACGAAAAAGTTTCTTCCTTTCTTTTGAGGGTAAGTATTGGCCCCAAATGCATTTCTCCTGCGTAATAATTCTGTGTCATCAGCTCCAATAATTCCTTTTTCTAAATTAGTCTTCAACAGGTTTGACAAGCCTTTTACCTATAAGAAGTAAACAATAAGAAATATCTACGGAGTAGGTTATTAAGAAAAGTAAAAAAACACATAATTGAAATGAATACTTGCCCCTCCATATTGTTGCAGTGCAGGCAAATCATGATCTCTGGTCATTGCAGTGAGCTGCTCAACCCCAATGCCATAACCACCGCTAGGCGGTGCTGGTACTGTACCAGGTGTTTCTAAGTAGTGGAAATAAAACATAAAAAAGCATGTTAGTCAGAGACCTGGCCTGCGACAAAGCAACAACTAGTTAATATGGAAGTACAATTTCTTTCAGAACTGCCAAGAAACCAAATTACAATAAGTTTCAAAAACAACTGCTTGAAATCCTAGTGACCAATTTAGGGTTACAAAATAGTGCCCGATGATCAAAACGAAGGGTGGGGAAGTTTATAGAATAATAAAGAAAAAAATTCAGAAAAATCGACAAGAATTTGTACGGCTGATGTTCTGGAAATAAAAAGCAAGAGTTGATGATGACAAGGATTGAGGAATACAGCATCGAGGGAAATACACCACATACTCGAGATCAAACTACAAAAATGCCACTCGAAAAAGAATAAGGGTACAACGCTCTTAAGAGAAATAAATCCAAATAAAAACGAACTCCAATTTTATAAAATCAAGAAAAAGTGCCAAAATAGATCTTAGACAATATATTTATATTAAGGTGGATAATAACCCTAATTCTAATTCAAATAAAGCCAAAATGGACGCCTAAGGCCCAGCTTGTGGGTAGAAAATCCCAACATTTGGGGCAGAAATCCCTCCCATCGCTCTCGCCTTGGCATGTCACATCCCCCATCACCCAATAATGGGGCTAAGAATATAAACACCACCAACATCATCATTAGCCTTATCCCAACTATTTGGGATTGGCTTATGAATCCTCATTATTTTCAATTCGTTCTTGTTGAGAATTGCCTAAGATATTAAATCTTTTCTTCAAAAATCATTTTGGACAACTTATCTCCACATGACAACTTATATTGTTACACCCATTTATTCTCCTTCCAAATCCTCCAACCCTGTTTCATCTACTTGTTCATTGTGTATATTTCCAAACACTTACATTTATTTTCAATAATCTAATCTACAAAAAAGCACTATGACGTTTACTCTGCTATAATAATCTCTTAATTTATCATTTCTAATTTTCACGTGCAATTATCACATCACTCTCTTTCTGCCATGCCCAACTTTAATTCTACCCCTTCTGCTTCCATCTTCTTCAAGATAAAAATAATTATGATTTTGATATAGATTATTATTATTATTATTATTATTATTATTATTATTATTACTATTACAATGATGATGAGCATTTATTATTATTAGAATGATGATGGACATAAAATCGAAACAACAATCATGGAAACATAATAAAGTGAATTATCATTAAATTATAGAGTTGAAGCAAGGAAGTAAATATGATCGCACCATATCAATGAATATATCTTATTTGGGCAAAATTAAAAAAAAACTATAGTCAAAGATGGAATAAAAAACATTATATGTATTAAATCAAAAGGATTGAGTTAAAACAGCCTAAGAGCAAAGGAACATAAAGAAGATAATGATGGCTGATGAAAGATGAATCACCTGGTCCCTTGCTTTCAGCTGCTTCTTTGAATAAAAAAGCTGCCTAAAAAATTTCAAAAAAATAATAATGAGCAGGATAGCATTAAAGTTAATTAACTAAATTAAATGTTAAGTAAGTACCCGTATAACTTGAGCATGCGCCCGAATTTTCCTCCTAATCTGCTCTTTCTCTTCCTCCCTTTTCAAATCCAAGGTATATCTAAACCGACGAGAAGCATTCAACACAAGAGCCGCTTGCTGTCAAGTAGTGCTCTTGTCAAAAATTCATGCCAATGTAATAGAAAAAGTTTGTGCTCCCTTCTCCTCCACAAAGGATAGGAAACTTAGGGAATATTACCATAAACACAGCTATTACAAAACAAAATAGCCCAGTCACACAAAATAGAACTTTTTGCAACAAAACAAGGAAACTAAAGAGCTTCTATTTTAATATCTCTTAACTTCTTCGAAAATCAAAGAATTTGCAAACTATCCAAAACATGACCATGTATTCAAAGAATCTTGGCAATCTAAATTTCTACTAAAGAGCTAATTAGATATAAACAGTGCGTAAGATAATATCACTTGATAGAATAAGCATATCAGGCATTTCATATGAAGAAAACTTCCCAAAAAACTAATAAATAATATAACTAGTCAAAAGATTAGATCTACAACCTCGATATAGAAAGTAACTCATCCATTTAAAAGTAACAAATGCCAAGTATCAATTCTAAAATATATGAACAACAATAGGAAGTGCAAGTAATGCAAGTATGAATGGAGGATTGGTTTATACAGCAACTTCTTTATTAAAAAATAAGTTTAAAAAAAATTAAAAAAAAATTCTATAATGATCGTCAAGAGAAAGCCATAAACTCCCCTGAGGCTCTTTTATTGAAACAAATAAGTATACCTATCAACCATTAAATGAAGCAAGTTTAACACAAATCAATAGGTTCATGGGAAAACAATACCATAAACGAGCAAACATTCATTAGAACTAGCTTGAGAGCAACAAATCCCTAACAAGCTTCATTCCTAAATAAAACCCAAAAATAAAACCTTACTTTCTTGGTTACTATGCTCCAAGCAAGAGATAGATATTGGTCCATCCTTTTTGTTTCAGCCAAAATAGGCACAAAGCAAAAAAAAAGTGATTTTATAGGTGGATTTCATTAAGCAAATGGCAAATCTCCATTCGCTTCCGCAGTGAGATTTGAATTCATAAATCTCAAAATTATAGATAAAGGTTATATTATGTGGCATGCAAGCAAATTTAGTTTAAATCCTTAAAAAATAGGTTCGGCCGGATCTAAATCTTACTATATTGATAAATACGTTTCATCCCCGTCACTGACTAGATAAATGATTTGTTGAATCCCATTATTCCATCAGTCAAGGAATTGAAAAGATTTTAGAATTTTGCATTCTCAAAAATCATAAAACCTTTAGCAAATGGCAAAACAATTTATGAGAATGTAAGATAATTTAGCAATTGTTATGAAAAAAATTTCAGGTTATAATCCACTCCTTGTAGCCATACAACCCCCTAGAATAGCATGAATCTCATTGTCAAGTAAGAAAGAAATAAGATATTCCTAATAGAATTCATAACAATGAACTCCTTATACGAATTCTATTTCTGATTTCTTTGGGCGTGGAACATTACTCTGGATTTTTAATAATGAAATCATGATTATATCTGGATTTATGGAATTAACCACATCCTACTTGTAACCATACAACCCCTTAGAATGGCACAGATTTCAATGTCAAGTAAAAAAAAAAAATCCTAATAGGGTTTTTTTAATAATGAACTCTTTATACGATTTTTATTTTGAGAATTCTTTGGGCGTGCAACATTACTCCTTTGGATGGTCACGAGTCAAAGATCAACAGGCACCCTTTGTTAGTTATGCATGATAAATTAAGGCACATAAATCATCTAAATCCCTTCGGAATAATATTCAGTAGACACCCACAGCAGCTCGCACGCCGACGTTAAGAGTATATGCCTATGTAATCATCTAATCCGCAACTATACACACTCTAAATCAATTTAAACCAGATAGAGAATCTCCAAACAACCCAAAACCACGAATCACCTGCGTAGACCTTAAAAACAAATCAAACTTTCGTCAAAAGCAAAAACAAAGCAATAACGTAGATAAATGAGTTGCTATAACCAAAACCTATCTTAACAACAACACAACATCGTAATGCTGAGATAAATTAATAATAGACCAAAGCGGCATTGACCAAACAGCATACGTACCCTCCATCTTCGCAGCCGCTCGATAGGTGCATTCTTCGACGGGATGTCAAATGCATCATCAGAAACGCGGATCTCGTCGCCATTCCGCCCCTCACCACCACTCCCTATCTCCTCGTCCTTGTGCCGGACATATCTGTTCGGCGACGTCATCTCCATTCCACCCCGCGCCGCAGGAGAGATGCCACCGACTCGTCAAATCTTGTACACAAACCAACCTCTTATTAGATGAAAGAGAAAACAAAAGAAAACCAAGGCAGACAGCCAGCAAAACAATGTCGAGAGAGTGCGTATGAAACCAAGCTCCAGCATTAGATAACGAGGAACATTGCGGTGGATTGAATTGAAAGCAACCTCAAACATGAAAAAGCGGAGCAGAAAGAAAAAGACAAAAAGAAAAAAATCGCAGGCGAAGCTTCGTCCAGCCTTCCTACGATCGAGGAAAACGCGGTGTTCAAATATCGAAAAACAAAAACAGAAACCAGAACCGCTCACCACTCTCTTTTCAATCAAAGCGACAGCTAATAGAATCTCGATCGATTCCCCTTCCCGAGCTCAACCAATCGCTTGCATCAGCAATCAATCTCTTCGCTTCTCTCTTCGTCCTCGGTTCGAGAGAGCTAAAACTCAATCTCCACAGCTCTGACCTCGTTGCCGGAGATCCACCGGAAGTTTCCAGGCCCGCACGGACGACCAAAGTGAACGATGGGCCGCGGAGAGAGAAGAAGAAGAGGAAGAGGCTCAAGAAGCTTCCGCGCAGCTTCGTCTCCTGAACTAATAACTTTTTATTTAGCAGAGGGAATTCCGTATCCAAATTTCAACAAATAACAAATTTTAACTTTCCATAATTAGACACTAAATAATGTTAAAAAAACCCCGACTAAATATTTATTATTATAAATGTAACGTATAATTAACGGTGCAATGGACAATACGCCGAGTAAGGTGGGACTTTGTAATTCCGCTAATTGCGTCCATTTACAGATGTGTTATTTAAATACGGTTAAAAAAATAAATAAATAAATATAAATGTCGACCGCTGATATATTTACTAATTCACATGCTTTTGTGGCAGTCTATTTGGTGACGCCCAACGCGAGTTGGTGATTCATTCGGAGGATGGCGTTAGGTGTCAAAAATTAGGTGTTGGTTAGTTAGGGTCCCTCCGCCCCGTTTAGGTTTTAGTTCTTGGACGAGGAGAATTTTTTGCTCAAAAAATTGTGATAGCTATTATAAAAAAAAATTTAAAAATTTGTGGTAAGTTTCTATAAGCCATTTAAGATAGTCATGTATTGTGAGAAAATACATCTTTCAGCTGCAGTTTTTTAATAATGCGCTCAAAATTCTGTTTTGCAAAACAGTAAAAACTATGGTGCGACACTACACCGTCACCCCAAATGCACCCTTAAGGGTTAATATTTGAGATTAATTTTTTGCTTTTTATTATTTTGTTTTTGGATACAAAAAATAGGAAACAATTATAAAAATAGTGTCGGTTTATTTATTTTTTTGTTTTATTTATGTTTTTTGTTTGTTTTTAAAACACCAAAATAACCATTCGTCGGCCGCACCCGCCCCAAGCCCTCCACTTCCGGTGAGCTCGTCCGATGCCCACTCTCATCCCTCACCCTCTGCCGGCCCCCGCCAGTCGTCTTTGACCCTTGCAAGCCGTCTTCCAGGAGGACCCCTCCCTTCACTCGCCAAGCCACAGACAATATTTTGTGCTGGGTGGAACAAATAAGACGTCATATACGCCATGTGAGGTAGAACTCAATGCTACGCACACGTGGACCCAACATTTTTATTAAAAAAAACATATTTTTTTAAGAAAATAAAAAATAAAAAGCATCCTATACTTTTGTGTTTTTAAAAACATGAATCATAAAAATATTAAACATACAACAACAACAACAAAGCCTTAATCCCACTACGTGGGGTCGGCTACATGAATCCTTTTTCTCCATTGCGTCCTATTTAGTGTCATATTTTCATTTAGTTCTAGTAAATTAAGATCATTTAAGATCATTTTTAATACAGTCTTCCTAGGTCTACCTCTACCTTTCTTAACACAAGTCGAATTTAAAACATCTACTCTCCTAATCGGATCATCTAATGGTCGACGTTTAATATGACCAAACCATCTAAGACGACTTTCTCTAATTTTGTCCATCACAGGAGCTACACCAACCCTATCACAAATATATTCATTCCACATTTTGTCTCTAAGTGTAAAGCCACTCATCCACCTAATCATTCTCATCTCGGCAACACTTAACTTATTATTATGCTTCTCTTATAAAAATATTAAACATGTTTTCTAAAAATAGAAAACTAAAATAAAACAAAAACAAAAATAAAAAACATAAAGTAATCCCAAATAGTCTATTAGTGAGATGAGTTGGGGATTCACTTTAAAATAATTAGTTGGGAAAATATTTTAATTAACTATATGTTGGTGATGAATCTTTTTAGGACGCAGGCTCTTATTATTTGTGAGTACAAACCTTGATAAATTTCTTGTCTTTTAGAAAAAAAGAGATGAATGAATGTGAAGCTTGAGAGAGTGTCTCTAGATTGATATATTGAGCTCGAAACACTAATTAGTTGTAGCAAATATAGCGTTGTAACACGAGATCTCCTCTGAGTTGTATGTTTCGGCTTTTCGGAGTTTCAATCTCAATATGTGAAACAGGAGAAACTCTCTCAAGTACCACATTCATCACCTTTTTCCAACTTTCTTCTAAAACGCAAGGTCTTTGCCGAGGTTTATATAACCCTACATCCTAAAAGGATTCAACATCTAAAAAGTTCATGATTTCTAATTTTATAAATTTATAGCAAAGTTTTGCACACATGTAGATAAAAAATAACGAGTAGCATCACAATTTATAATAAATGTTCAACGAAAAAGCTATGAGATCTAATCAAGATAAAATTACAATCATAAATATGTCTAAATAATAATTATGTTGAACTTAATCTTTTGTAATTATATTTGAGAGATAGTGCAATGGACAGATAATGTTATTTGAATAATAACAATCAAGCAATCATAGATATGCAATAGAGGTTGAATGACGTAAATTGAATGATAGAGTATGATAATTTCGTGGCAACGATCATCATATGACAGTTTAATGACAACAATAAGATAACTACAGAATGTCAAATATCAACTATAGCTATGGATAACTCTCATTACACTCAAATTCATATCACATTCATGGAATAATCATATTGAAATTTTTAAAAAATGAAATATACAAGTCAAAATTTTACAAACTTGCACAATTTAAATTATCACAATTCAAAGAAAAATAATTAAGTATCATTTTATAAATATGAGATTTTTAAATGATATATAAGAAGTTAATCTTATTCTTTTCATGTTGGAGCATTTTCGCTTTAGAATCCATACTTACCTCTGAAACCAATGATTCCTCTGCTTTAGATGCAAGCAAAGGCCTAGAAGTTCTCATTATTTTAGTCATAAAATTAGTTTATAAGCTTTAGATTATGTATTTTTAATTATTATTTAAGTTAATTTAAAATTTGAAGCATGCTTAAATTATTTAGTTAGTGAAGAAAAATTACTTTGAGTTAAGGTAAAGTGAGAGATTATTTAATTGCATTTAGCTTTAAGGTCATTTGATTAATGCTTAAATAATTTGTAATTTCATATAAATTAGTCTAAATCAATACTATTTAAATCTTAATTAAGTAAGCATATCATAAGCTTCTTAAACAATTTACTTAAAATTGTAATCAATTATCACTATTTGTTGATTATTAGGAGCATTTTACTAAATAATTAATTATAAAAAATCCAAAAACTAATTACAATAGCATTTGTAATACAACTATAACAATCATGACAAATACTAATTAAGACTTCAATTAATCTCTTATTTGTTTATATATTTATGAAGTTTTACATTTATAATTTAATGCTATTATTTTTAACAATCATAATTAAATAATAATTAATCAAATTTATTGACTTTTGTCATTTACCAACATACAACCTAATTTCCCTGTAATTGCTAATAAAAACTAATTAAATTTTATTTTTTACACTTTTATCACTGAAATATTTCATATCTGTTGAAATTTAGAAAAATTCAGAATACTTTTGAATCACTTGATTTTATTGATGCAAAGAGGGGTATAAATACTCATTATAGAATTTACTGGTAAGAAAAATTCACTTGATTTTATTGATGCAAAGAGGGGTATAAATGCTCATTATAAAATTTACTGGTAAGAAAAACAATAATAAGAAAAATAATAAAAACATAATACAATAGAAAAAGAAATGAATAATAACAAAATATAAGTCTTTAATTAAAGAGAGAAATAAATAAAGATTCTCAAGATTCCTCATATAATTTACAACTCTCTAAATATAGAGTTATAACAAATATGGAATATAATCATTAGTATTTTTGAGATCTTTCAACAATATCATAATAAATGATCATTATATTAATTTTTAAGAAAATGAAATGCTGATACGTAAATACAGAAGAAAGTACTGGTTTGAATGTAAATCTTCCTAAAATAAATATTGGCGTGGTGTCACAATTTTAAATGTACGAAGGAAGCCAGGTGGCGACGGCAGGGCTGCATGCATAAATGTGAGGTGGCTTTCTCTAAATATTTAATATTTAATTGTAATATTTTATTTATTGAATTATTTTAAGGTAGTTTATTTAATTATTTATTGCTCGGATAATTATATTTTTAATTATTTTACATGAAAGTTGGGAGCCACGTCTGATGCAAGGTTGTTGGCAGACACCGATCCTATGGTTGCAGTATAAATTTCAATTATCTTGTCAGACAAGTTTGCTTATATTTTTGTATGCGGTTGTTGTGCTATACTTATCATTTCATAAAATTCAAAAAGATATTAATATATCATTAAAATCTTTTATTTATTTACTTTTTTAATTAATTTTAATGTGTTTAATTTCATATAAGTAATTATAAATATATATGTGTCAATGAGATATAAATAGAAAAAAAATTGGTGGTGTGTATCTGTGTCCTCATAAAATAATTAATAATTATGTAAATTATATGAATTTTTTTATTGACTTTTAATGTGTTATATATGTTAGTAATAATGGGAGTTTTGTTTTAGTAGTGTTTCATCTTCTAATTGTCTTTTCAATCATCTCTCGAGCTCGTGGTTTTTTGTGTTATTGATCATGGTTTGAGCATTCTTGTGCAACATGAGGACGTCTCACCTCTCACTTTACTAATTGTTATTAACTCGTGTATCATTATTTCCTTATAATTGGAGATGAATACATTTTATAAATCACTTATTTCATGCTGTTAAGAAATTTAGGGCGTAGAAAAATATGAATCGACATAAATTTAGAAGAATACACAAAGATTTATGAGGTTCGGCAAAGATTCTAACATCTTTGAGAGCAGAGCGGCGACTTTCTTTTTAATGTTCAGAAAAGAGTACATAATACAAGATTCATTTTTCGGAGTCTCAGAGACTCACATAGGGTTACAAACATGACGTATATATAACCCTATAGTACAATATGTAATTACTTAAAGTACTCGTGTACCAAACCGCGGGGTGTTGCCCCCGCACCCCCAACCCACAAAATGAAACTCCCCTAATTGGACAGATCATTCCGCTCCACTCCCCTCGTGGACTCCGCTCCGCTTCAGCAACTGTCTCATTTATGATATATGAGTCATACTTAACAAATCTCCACCTTAGCGAATATCCAACCCATTAAGAGAAATACATATACCCAACAATTCTCC